TGCTGTCTCTCCAGCTTTACAGCACTGAATGTTCCTGAATTCCCTTCGCAGTGATAAACATGGCAATATAGTTATGCATGCTGGTCTTCGGGCTTTAACAGTCACCCAAGTGGGGTTAGGCAATACAGTGGAAATTTGAAGGCCAGCTAGGAACTCTGGTTCAGAGGCACTAATTTTTCCATACTCCACTACTGGTGGTACCAAAGGCAGTTTACCAACATACTCCATATGATGCTCATCTGCTCAGTAATAATCCTCCTTCTCTCAGTGCTCCTACAGGAACCCTGACATTTGACAGCACACAGTATCTCTCTCAGGGGTACAACCCAGGAGGACCGAGCCACCCCAATCTTTTGGTATCCACCTTGGAGTGAAGGAGCTAGGCAGCAAGAGAGAGAGAAGCAAGGTGGAAGAGTCACTAGAACCAAGACAGGTGAAAAGATGCAAGTACTACAGATAAATCGTATCTTTTGTGACAGAAAGTTTTCTGCACTGCAAGTTGAAGTAAAGAAACAGCTCTGTTGTCTGTGGCCACAAAGATGGCAGTAAATGGGCAGGAAGCTGCTCCTGGCCGTTACCAGTCACGCCGCTCCCCTCACCAAGACGGAGCAAATTGTTCCATACCTCACTCCACTACATTACATTTCTCATACAGCCCAAACATCCAGTTAGTGTTCCTCTCCCTTTCACGCAGTCTCCTGAAGATGAATTCAGAAGGGGGAAGGTCAGAGCTGATCTCCTGTAACCTTTTGGCTCTCCAGAATTCTGTGTTTCCTTACTGCCAGGAATTTCTGAACAATTCTTTGGGATGCCTGAAAACCTAAAGGTTGTACCATTGCCACTGGCTGGGAGCGGAGAGCCAGGCCCCGTGGAAGACCCCTGCAAGCTTGTGTGAACTGCTGTTTGAACCACATGCATTGTTTGTTGCAAGGCATAAGTGAGTGAGAATCACTGGGTATTCATCAGCAAGAGGCCTGTACTAGCTTTGAATTTCTGATGCAAATCACATGCAACTACAGGTGCATTAAAAAGGAATTAGTAAGACACAAGGACACAAAGTTTTGTCCCATGTAAATGCTCTAAGATACAGGTGTGACACACAGATGAGCGGGAAAGTTTTGGGTCTGAAAATACTGTCAGATGCTCCTGAACTAAGACTGGCCAATATATCTTTTGCCCTGAATAATTCTACTGTGATGAAATTATCCAGTAAAGGTAGCTGTGTTGCAATTCTCAGGAGTCCTGCACTGTCACTGGAACCAGAACTTCCCACATCGGAGGACATGGTTCTTCAAACAGCAAGTGAGTTTTCTTCCGGGAGGCTCTGCCTGACTGCAGATAAGGTTCCTCTCGACTGGATGCAGCCGTACCCCACAGGAAAAAAGGTAGCACCATGCTTGGTTGATATGAGCTCTGAACAGCTACAGTTTGGCTGTTCAGTAGAGACAGTCATGAGCACATCTGCTCTGTGAGGTGACTGCTGTGCAGTTAGGGGGAATGGTAGACGCAGGCTGTGAAAAGAGAGGCTAAACCTCGCTGGCAGGAGTACTCCGGCTCAGCTCCTTGATCCCATGCAGTATCCTCTTCATGTGACCCACTTTGGTCACACCCAGGTCCTGGAAGAAAAGAGAAAACCTTACCTTAGGAGAGAGGCAGGGGGGAAATTCCAGGTGGCCAAGCAATGGTTACAAACTAGTCAGCCAGTTACAAAGAGAGGAGGAAACCAACCAGAAAGATTACAAACCTGATGGTTATATATGGAACATCAAATAATGTGTCAAAAAGCTATCAGAGCATGACAGGGCAATGAACACAGAGCAGGCACAGAGCAATGGAGAGAAACAACTGCAGACCATTAGCCAGAAATGCAAATTGCTTTGACTGTTAAAGGCCAAAGCAAGAGAACAGAAAGAGCATACAGATCTCAAGGACCTAAGCTAGTAGCCAAAACATGCAGGAAGAACCAACCCATCACTGGTCACATCAAATAAATGTGTGAACACTTGGGTACCATGCAACAAAACACAGGCTGTAGCTGGATGGCATGCAGAGGAATCAGCTACACAGATTACAGCAAACCTCAGAACAGGAAGATGGTCAAAATCACAAATGAAGATCCAAGGGGCATTCAAAAAATGCCATGCGCTGCTTTACAACAAAGTATTTTTCTGCTATATGCAAGTCACCAGAATAATGACACAAGTCTCTTGTACATGTAAAGAACCACCACTTGCAATTTTTCTCTGTAGAGAAAGCATGTCCTGGTGAGGAGATGCAAAGTTGTGCAATGTAGTTACTAAGCACTATTTAAACAGATTCTCTCCACCTAGCAGCCTCATCAAAAACCACAATGATTTTTTTTCTTGTAACAAAGAAGTGTGACGATCTATTTGTCCAGTGACTACGACATAAGAACCAAATTTTCGCAATCACAGCATGTTCTGCAAAGATGGTACAAGAGCTGAGAAGCTGAAAACTTCCATTCCGTCATTAAAATCAGAGACTCTCAAGAACACTATCTGCAATCTGTGTGCTGGACTGTATTACGTCTCCAGGAAGCTGTGGCAGAATTGGACAGCTGGTCCCTCAACTAGCTGTTCTATCTCCCTGCTGTTAAAAATCAGGTGACCTGAAATGGTGAGAAAATAAAATGAGGCCGCAATGAAGCCGTTCATCTTGCCAAGGCACGTGGAATGAACAGCGGGCAGACCACTTCCAAGCACATTCAGCACAGAAGATCATGCAGATGCAGCTGGCTATTTCTCATGAGCTGATCATCAAAGTACCTTGAGGTCCCTCCGTTCGAGGTGCAGGAGCTCAGAGCCCCGGACGTCATGCCGGATGAAGATATCCTTATACTCACAAAGACTGAGATGCTCAAGCCAGGCCGCAACCTCCTCCGTTCCCCAGAGGTGAACTGTTAGAGATGGAAAAGCAGGAGTGCATTGAGTACCCAGAATCCCAGAAGACAGTCAGATGAGGACACCATCAGCACTCAGTGCCAGAGAAGGAGGGCAAGCAGTACCACAGCCTCAAAACAAAGAGAGGGCAAGGACTGGTAGCATGACCTACAGTCTCAAACAAAGGAGGTAGGGCAGAGAAAGGTAAAAGGTGTTCTCTTAAGCAGAGGCTAGCTGCAGTTAAGCCAGGAGGAAGTGCATGGTTGTTTTGATGGGATTGGATATGCTTTTTAAAGTTTACCCCTATGTTTAAGAAGAGTAAGTTCACTGATATTCCTCTGCTTACAAAACAACAGATTCATAAAATATATCATGAAGAATTAAGCACAGATTAGTTTGCTGTTGTGCACAAGCACTTGTGCTCAGTAAACAAAATAGCAACCTCTCTCCCCCAAGTCTGAGGGAGAGAGGAAGAGTTTAGACTTCCACCTTGCACAGCCTCTAAATAAGAGATTAATAAAGTTCCCAAGTTCTGGGAGGCAATGAATGAGCACCAGCCTGTCGGACAGAAGGAGACTGTACCCACAACTCCGTGGCAGAAGACAGGACCCAGGAGCCCACAGAACAGGTAGTACTTCTGAATTTTAGAAGAAAGTCTTCATAAGAGAGTATAATCAAAAAATCAACTAACCCAACTGGAGAGAAAGTGTCTTGAATGACAGTTTGTTGATTCATAGCCAGTTTTTATCTACTGACCAGTAGGATTAAAGGTCAGGGTGCACCTGTGGTGATGCTGATCCCCAGCCAATTAGGCATGAAACTTGATTAAAGCCTGAGGGTGAATCAATGAGAAAAACATCATTAACCATATCACAGAGAATTAGCAGTGAAAAGGCTGGAGTTATGCGGACTTGGGCTCCACAGTCGTTTTGATACCTAAAATGTCAAAATCCTCAAATTGACTTCACTAAGAACCCCCTAAAATATCCCTGAAAATGTCTGGATGTAGGCAGAATTCTTCAGAGGGTACCTCCTGTTTCTGCTCAGGAATATTTGCGCGGTACTAGGGAATCATGACTTAGAACGGAGCAATAAGCTACTCTGCCACGTGAAAAAGACAGACTGAACCTCCAAGAAAAGGCAGATGCACTTCAAACAGAAGAAGGAGACAACATCAGAGGAAACAGACAGAATAGGTAGCGGTGTGACCACACTGATATGACAGAGACACAATGAATGAGCAGACTTGGTACCCGGCAATCCCATGCTACTGTGAGTTTCCTTATTTTTGTTGTTCTTCTCCTTTTTAAACTTGGTCACCAGCCGGAATTTGCCACTGCGGCTGCGTTTAGAGTAATCCAGCATCTGGTTCTGTAAGAACAAAAAGGGAAAAACAGGCAAATAGTCATAAATTGATTGGAACGGACCAAGAGGAACAAGTACTGTCGAGGTCAGCTTCATGACCTTGCAAGAGAGGAAAAAAAATTCTAAACTCATTCTGATCAAGACAGGAAAGGAAACAGAGAAAGTTGATCCTATGCCAGGCAAGGGACCTTAGCAGGAAATTACTTTCTTTAGCCCTAGGGAGTCAAGTTTCCTTCTTAATTTTTTCTCACATCAGTCGTATATTCACAGGAAGTCAAACACTCACAGCCATCTAGTGAAAAAGAGAACAACTAGGAAAACATAGCCTTAGTCCTCCTCACCTCCTCATCGCAGGGCTCCATAAGCTGCCACAGCCAGGGGATGTCTGCTAGTTTCCTCAGCTGGAGGTCCATGTCTGCCAGGGCTGCTTGGAGCTGCTCCTTCTGTGGAGGATCTAATTGCTGGATCAGAAATGGAAGCAAAGCAGAGTTAAAAGCCATATGGCGGAACACACAGTCAGGCCCTTGCCTTGAAATTCCTAGCTAACAAAGCAGTTCTTCCTTTTAAAAGGAAGTGCACAGCAGGCACTCTGCCCAGACATTACCAAGTTAATGACTTTCATCTTTTCTGAGCTCCAAACTCCACGCAAGCTAGCCTGACTGCTCATCGTGCCTATGTAGCAACACCATCCTAATTACTCGATGGTAACATTTAAACTGACTTGTTACAAAGAAGACCATGACCAGCAAAATGTTGCTTGCCAAGGCAACAGGAGGAGAGGAGAGAAAGTGAGAGGCTGCTTTACTCCTGCTTTGTGCTTCTTACCAGCGCCATCTTGCCCGCCAGCAGCAGCTCTGTCTCATTATGGAGGGCTTTGACATTATTCACCATCTCTACAACAAGGCTGCAGTTCAGACCCTGCAGGGAAGCAATTCATGCGCAAATTAAGCCTGGAAATGCAGAGGTCTGAGCAGTGAAAAGGAAGAAGTCTTAGACAAGCAAGGCCTACTTTCGGTCAACCAGAAAGGAAAACCAAGAGCTATGGAACAAGGACAAAATGGGAGATGCTAAGTGAGTGAAGTACCTCTGTAGACTTGGATTTAGCGTAGACTTTGTCCATAGACTTGGAGCTGGCATTGACAGCATGGGCAAGCTCCTGTTCCATGTCCTGATAGGATTGGGCTATTTCCCGAATGCTATAGAGAGAATTACAGATTGCATCAGCATATGCTCAAAGCAGGAGATCTTTTCTGACTGGGTATCTCCTTTTAATACCCATCTGAGTGACAAGAGCAGGGATAAAGCACGGGAGGGGCACAGCCTCTGGCAAAGCAGGGCAATTCTCCCTGCTATCGTGAGCATGCGTAGGCAAAGCAAGGCAGATTTCACATGCACAACTCCAGGTGCATATTCAATTCTGCACACAAGTTGGGATCAGTCTGAAATACAACCTAGACATTTTAGTATGGCCATAGTGATGTGAAAGGCAGCTGCACACATGGCAGTTTAATTTACACTTCTCTGATGTGACTCTGGGAATTTTCTCTCTGAGGCCCAGACCAAGGAGCTGAATGTCCGAGTAAAGGATGAGCAGGTGAGTATACAGTGACTTCTTCCAGAAATCTCTGCTGGGCATCAGGGTTATAAGAACCCGACTTGTCATCTGAGCTCCTAGAGAGGCCTTTGCTTCATTTCTGATAAAAATCATCGATATTCAAAGATAATGGGTTCTTTCAGGATTAAAGGATCCATGTTTGCTCATGAAAGTAACATTTTTTTGTTCAGAATGACCTAAGAAAGTTTATTTGACTTCAGTCCTTGTGCAGCTGGGACAGTGCATAATGAATGATGTAACCCCCAGTGACATGGACCAGCACTGCAGAAGATAATGAACAGAAACATCCCCAGGAACAGGGATTAGGACAAGAACTCCAGGCACCAAAGGAGGGCTCTATTCACCAAAAGCAAATTGAGTCCCACCTGTGGATCAGGGCACCTGCAGCTTGACCAAACTGGTTGATCTGGGTGGATTCTTCTTCAGACATGATCTCTGGTTGCAGAGAGAAAGAGGAGGGTCGGGACAGCTCACACTTCTGTTTGTCCTCCCAGGACTTCAGGGTGCTCTCAAATGCCTAAAAACACAGCAAGCACACTATAAGATACCTTATAAAGCTCCTATAAAAAACAATGGCTGTGCCTATGCCTGTAAAACATGTAAATCTGGTATAGACACTTTTCATTGCAGGACCCAGTTGTTCAGCTGCTTATAACTTTGCTAACTAGCTGTCTGGGCTGAAGTTTTCCATGCCACATGCTTGCCTTGACTTAATTTTTGCTTAAGCCTAGTTTTAGTCAAAATTGCTAAGCCAATTCTGAGGGCCAGACTAGCAAAATCCATCACTTCCCTACTGGTGGCAGCCTTTTCTCTGAGTAGTTATATTGCCTCTACACTTCTGTATTACTGCACACCTCTTCAAGTGACATCTCAGAGCTGGAAGTTAAAAAATGTTCAAGGCTCCTCCTTATACCTTATCTGGAAGTAAACTGGGCTTCCCCAGTAATTGGTGGGACAAGCAGCTGAACTCAGAGCTAGGACCTGTCCCACTTGCACCCATACTGATATTCCTG